TCAAGAGGTTAATAAATGTTATAAAATAATTCACGCCTCGCTTTCCTTCGTGCGATTCCAAATTCCATTTTCCCCAGCTCGTTAACCTTCTTATCGTTACGAAAACAAAGTATTCCAATCGACTACTCGACCTAGAACGAAACCCGCCAAGAATGCAAAACACAAAGCCAGCAACGAAGCTAAGCGCGCCAACTCGCTATTACCCTAAGCTGGCGAATGCTCTGGCCATTCCTCCGTTGCCTCATCCGCGAGATTACAGCAATATCGCGGTAATGCCGCGCCTGGAACGAGAATCGGGGACTGGGAAATAATTCGAAAAGGGGTAGAAAGTATCGGAGATTGTGATCTCAGCCCGCATCTAATGATATTTAGAGTTCGTTTTCTTCGGTTGCATTGGAACACCGAACGGGTTTCCTCGTCGCGGTTGAACGACGAAGGTGACCGGGCGCAATCCGCGGACGGGTGGAAAAAGAAACGAAATGAATTCCACGGCAATCGCAATCGCAAGGGCCGAGTTAACGGTAATACGCGATGATACGAAGGACGTAGCCGCGAGAACCAATTTATTCTCCCATCCCTCCAAAGTTTTTTTTACCTTTCATTCTTTCTTTCTTCTTCTTTTTTTTTTTTTTTTTTACACTACCAGCCTAGGAACGAAGATTATTTACCACGATATTCAGTCACGTTCGTATCTCTGGTTTACATTTTTCTTCCCCTTCAGATCTCTCCGCGGCGTGAATTCTGCGCGCGAAAAGTGGCTGAATCGATTGTTGTTGCGAAAGTGAACGCAAAAAATCTTTATTACCATCCGACGCGGATATGGGGTGCGTCCTTTATTACCCGGAAATGGTCGGGAGAATGTTTAGCCAGCGCTCGGGCTGCGAGGGACGTAAACCTACAGGACGATGCAAAAGCGATGTTCTATAAAAATAAACGGAAGCAGGAATTTTTAATAATTGCTCACTGGTGTTACGGAAGCAAAATGAATTTTAAAGTAAAGAAGGGTGAAGAGCGCGACACGACGTAAGAAACGCGTTGAAATCTCTAACAATTCGCGACGAACATTTCGCACGATCTTCTTGGCCCTCGTGTTCGCGGATGAGAAATCCCAGCGACGCGCGAGAACGGTTCGATCGAAAATGCAAATTCGACTCGGTGGAAAGAAGACACGTCTGACAAAAAGCAGTTCCGCGTGATGCAGCGGCGAGAATTAAGTACGCTCGGAGCATCATTTAGGCTTCGAGATAAAAACAACGTACGGAACCGTTAATTCGGACGAGCGTGGCGCTCCTTATGAGACTTGGCTCGCGTTCGTGCGAAACTTCGATCCCGAGGTTTTGCCGCGATCTATCTGGCTACTATAATGATAATTTCAGGTGAATTACGGGGTTGCATCGGCACTTTTAATATTCCACTTGTTGATCCTTCCGCGAATCGCGGGGAGATGATTGTTCGGTGCAAGAAGTACTATAAAGGTACTCTTGATGATCGCGTTCGTCGTTTACTTCGTTTAATGCGAGTAAAAAGGAAAGAGTTTGAATTTTTTGTGTCGTAGTTCTGGCACGTGCTACGACGAAGACATAATGGAAATGAAGTACAATAATCATTATTAAACTGTGGATGTTCGTATACGTCCTACATTTTTATATATTTGCACTTGTCATGAATGCATAAATATCCACAGTTTAATCGTTATGGAATGCTCAAAGTAGTTGAACGTGGTTGTCTGGCCCATAACGCGATATAATATAACAATTAATTTTCTATAATATTCATTTTTTTTTTTTGCAACCCTTCCGTGGCACGAGTCCCCATTTCCTTCTGGCCAGCGCTCGATAATTACAACGTTAACCGAACCCATCCGCCCGCTGACCTCTGCCCCGCAAGCCTGACCTTGCGGACACGATGCAGAACTCGCGTGTCAATTAACGCAGTCAACCTGCTCGCCACGCATCCGAAGCGATCTCCTCGTCGCGCTGAAACCTGTTCCACCTGCGTCGACGTTTAATTATGTCACTCGTCCAATATTTTTGTCGGTCGCGAAACGAGGAAAGTTCACTCGTGTCAGTCGTAGTTGGCCTGAATTCTTCGGCGACGAGCTCGCGAATAGAGGCGCGGCTTTAAATTTAATCAGCCCGCGGTTTCGCACGTTTCCAAGCTCGCGTTATTCGCGTTAAACCGGCTCGAGGAACGGCGCAGCCGGTCGTCTTCCTAATTTCCTTTTAATTCGAGTCCCTGTAACCCGACGACCGCGAGAACACGAGGCGGGGTCACAGACGCGCGCCGTAATGGACAACGCGACGGCGTTTTCGTGCGAATTTCGCACGCGCTGCAGGTACCGTTCTCGCAGCCAGCACGAAATTAAACGTAAACGCGAAGATTCGGGAAATGGGACGGCCTAATTATTCGTCCCGCGCACGCGTCGTTAATTTTTCATTACAGTTATAACGCGTTTCGCGCGGCGGTCGGTTTCGACCGGGTAACGGACGCGGCGAACTTGAACTAGAACCGCGTGATTTATCGATAGCCTTACGGATAAATACGGATGGGCTATTAACGGTTGTTACTTCGGAATTCGTTTGTACTCGCTGCTGTGCTTGGAAACAGGTCGCGTGAGTCACTAATTTTAGACGAGTCGTTTAGGTTACAAAGACATTTGTCGAGCACAATTGTTACTTTTCGAAGGGAACTTGATCGTAAGGAGTGGGGTTCGCACCCAATCCAAGCGTTTCCCCTCGGCGACTATTACCGATATCGCGTTACAAGCCGGACGCGATGTTCGGCAGGGGGTCTTATCGGTGTTCATAAAAAAGAAGGAACCGTCCCGCGAAAAAGGGGACTCGATACCGCAGGAAAGAAGAACGAGCCACGATACAACGGAGACGATCTGACGCGGACTACCGAGGTATGTAGCGGCAGGATATCGGGAGTGTCCTTTATTTCGGCGCTGGGACACGCCGTTGCTTGTCAGCAGGACCCTCTACTATCGTCGTTCGCTCGGGGTAACTTTATACTCGGGATGATACTCCGTGTAACCCCTGGAACCACGACTCGATAAAGCCGCCTGGCAAAAATTCAACCGATAGAGGCGAATTTATTTTGCCTCCTTTTTCCACGGGAACAAAAAAAAAAACGAGAAAAAAAGAAGGAAACGAGAGGAATAAGTCCTGCGACCGGAGGAAGATAATCCAAATACTGCGAGGGCGAGGCGGACGCCGGCTTCCTGAGGGGATCTTACGATGAATGAGATACGGGGATTTCGAACAAGTTTGGGGAAGTGAATTTAGACATCAAACGACGGTATTGCGGTTGGGTATTTTGTTGTTGCGAACAATGTACTCGGTCCCACGCAGCTGCTCGAAAAGCAGTATCCTTGCCAAACGATATTTTCTCACACCCATAAATTGTTTACCGAAACGATTGTAACCCTTAGGGGAACGTTAGAATAAATTCATATGTACATACAAAGAAACTTTTCGTATTTATTATTTTTTAACCAATGCAATGTTTAACGTGAAAAAATAAAAGTTTCAGTGCGAAAAATATGCACAAAGGAGCTTTGAATAGCCAAAATACGTATGAATATGCAATAAAATATCGATACGACAAGATACTACGACTGTTTCGGTTCGTCTTCGTATGCCTACCAAGGAATATTCACAACCAGTTGTATGCTTACGGGTTATTCAAACGCACGTAAAGCCCCCGAAACAAATTAACCGTGCAAGTCGGGGGCTTACCGTATCCTAAACGCAAATTACCAGCTCAAATTGCTCCCCATCGCTACCGAACGCGTACCCGCAAACTCGCGGAGAATAAAACCAACACCGCATCACGGAATGCTCCCATCCCAGCGTTCTCGGTGTTCCAGGAATATCCTCGGGAGTCGCGCGGCGCGCCAAAAATCTCCCACGGGTACTCGAAACGATCAATATTTCCCAGAGACCGTCGCGTCGCGTAAGTGCACCACGAGTTAAGGGAGAGAGGGAACGGAGTAACAGGCCCACGCAGTCTTGGCGATTTGTTTCTTCGTTTTGCGTCTCATTTGAGAGAAAAATATCCTTTAGCGCGGCGGTGGGGGGGGGGGAGAAGATGGAGAGCCGACGGCCACATAGTACGCACAAAATCCGGCCCCGAGCCGGAGGTTCGATAATAAATATGCAAAAAGGAGGAGCGCCGATGCCGTAAATAAAAACGGCGGGTTTGCGTGCTGCGATCGCACCATGTGCCAGCGAACGGGCAGAACCTCGAAATAAAAGGACGAAACGGACAGAGGGGGAGGCGTATTGGTCGAATGGAGCAGAAAGGAAACTGGACTCGCGAAACGGGACGAAAGAGCAACAGTACGCACCGACCTGTCCTGGTAATCTCTTGATTTAGTTCGACTTAGGGCCAAGGGAGGACGTGTTTTTCGGTCACTTTGTCGGCCCTTTTCGGGCAACGGGGAACGATGAAGATACCAAGGGCTGCAAAAACGCGAGGTAACGACAGAGAGAGATATCTCAGCCACGAGAATCGTCGAGCCGTGATATCGACCTGATGGCTCTATTTATAGAAGGTTCGACCTGGCTCGGGCTAAATTTGGGGGTGTCGATTCCGTTCCAACCTTCTCCCTTTCGAAGGTACAAATGCATCCTCGATAGGTTTAGTGTTATAATTATCGGATAGAATGTCGCTATGATTTTCAAATATCTCGATTAATTAATATGATCGATCAACAACGACCGATATAATTTTCGTCTACTCTGGGGGGGGGTCGAACAATTATACATGTATTGGAGAATTTGACCAATAATGTCTAACATTCCAAGAAAAAATAATTTGTTATTCCAAAAATATTTGTTCGTCCTGTTAGCATCGGGGAGAAATAATAACGTAACGACGTAGTAAGTACCGATCCAGTGGCGCACTCGATCGATCAAGGGGATCGATAGATCATGTTCCTAAGTGTTTAACCAGTAAACAGCACAGCCCCGAGGGATTACGTGGTTAGTACTCACCTGTACTCGCTGTCGATGATGATCCTGCTTCCGCTGCCGCCTCTCCAGTTCCTCCTTCCGCTCGATCAGCGACCTTATCTCGACGGCTGCCACGGGCGCAATGGTGTCGTCAGGTACGTCTGTACACGAGGGTAATCTTCTTAGGGAAGGAAGGGGCTCGTCCTCCCCTTCGCTGTAACTTTCCACGAGGAGCTCCGAGTCGCTCTGAAAGCGATTCAATGATTTCGCTTGTACCAAATTCTGGGAAAAACAATCTTTCTATTATTCAATCGCCTCGGGTGTACGAGCCACTCCCGTATAATTTGTTCTGTATACAAGATGAGTGACCCTCGTATGTTTACATTCAGGGATTCGATTACTTTACTGTGTATGCTTTGAGTGCTCGATACGATACAAAAAAAAAAGTTGTTTATCACCGTGCTCGAACGGTTGAGACGCGTGTTCGAATTTACAGGAACAGTTATATTATATCTACTTTCGCGTGTACGTACATTGATTCTGCAAATGAATAATTAGAGAAATTAATAATACGCTTGTAATTTGTATTTAACCCCTCAAGAATAATAAGAGCTAATCCGTCGTAATACAATATGGCGAGGTTTAAGATATTCCACAAACAAAAAAGTTGATTTCGCGTTTCTTACACCCCTGATTTACCCGACAACATCCGCTGATTCTTTGAAGCGCCATTTCTTCCCCCTACTCTCGTCCCCCCCAAAGTTCTGTCTCTCGCAAGTACAAGGGGATGAATATTTCATGAAGGGGTAAAAATTACTCCCATAATCCTTAACGAAATTCTTTGTTGAAGTCTGCGTTCGCATTAATCGAACGGTGGGTCGCTAGCGCGTTTAATTTACTTCGGGCGAACTTTCTGAATGAGTTAGTTACCTGCTCCGGGGGTGAACTCGGCGTGCTTGTGCTGGAGGCCTCGACTACGGATACGTATTCGCTGATACCAGTCTCGCTCTTCTGTAACTTCAAAACTGGCGTCTCGAGCCCGCAGAGAAACACTTGGCCGAAAAAGAGAATCTTGTTTATCCTGAGGCACACTTGGGCGATTTCCTGCAACACAGGTCCGTAGTAGGCGCCAACACCGAGACAAACGTAACTCGGGTTTCGGAGCATTTTAATCGCGCAACTTTTAATTGAAACGTTTCGCTGAAAGAAACCGTGCTTGGGTAGGCAAAATAAGTCGACTGCTTTAATTTCTTTTATCACGACTTTTCCTCGAGGGAAGGTATAACGAAAACAGTATTCAATTAAAAAGTTGTGTCAATTAGGAAATGATATCAATTGCAGGGTTATATCGAGACAAGGGAGATACCTAGCTGTTGCGTCGAAGAAAAATGAAATGGCAAAAATGCGAGCCTTACTGATAGGGTAGTACAATTACGGGATATTAATAATTATTATTGATCGTGAAAGTAACGCAAGTTACTTACTATATCTTCGTTCTTGTCGACGTAGCAAGGATCCTGAGGATTACACATCAGCGGCGTGAATCCTGCCAGGGTCGTATCTTCGGGCAGTTTCACCAGCTCGACCTCTGAAACAAATATCAACCATAATCGTTATAAATTATAAACATCTCATCTCTGATTTATGTCTGAATCTTACTCTGAACTATAAAAGTTTATTAGTCTAGAAGAGCACACAAAAATCGCTGCAATGTAATTCTTCACCTACAACCCTGTTACATCTTCCAGTACTCGAGATCACCAGAACAAGGTCACGAGAAAATATTTGCCACGGTGTCTCACATTGCAGCACGATTCCCTGAAAATTATTCAGCCCAGCTCGCGACCTCTGAATCGAAGCGACGAACAATGACACTCGCGACGCGTTATCATGCAAATGTGAGTCGAATGCGCCGGCGATAAACATTCAGCAACAACTACCGGGGAGTGGCAGGGCGTTCCTGTCAGTCCCAGCATCGTGGACGAATGAACGATGTCTAAAGATATTCAACCTGTCGTATGACACACTTGCGCGACCGATGAGTTCCTCTAAGTCGCATCGCGAGGCGCATACCTTCTCACCCGCATCGAGCGTCGATAATGGAACAATATAACGCCTGGGACATGACGCCAGAGAATACGAGATGTCCGCGATGACGATTCGTTTTCTTTCCCGCCTCTTACTTTGTTAGAAATACGCGAATACGTAAATTAAGGGTTAAGATTCCAGCTTGTCCGTAAAGCGGAATCGATGTCTCCTGTGGCTGGCGATGCGACTACCACGCATCGAAGTCTCCGGAGCGACGTTTGCGTTCGCGCTCATTTTTCTTATACAAAAACAAGCAGCTCTGCGAATCTGAAATTTTTCTGCTGTTCTCTTTCGAATAAAAACACATTTATTCATCACAGTGAATAAGACGCAAGTTTTAATTAACGAGAGCATGTAAACAGTAAAAACAAGCAAGAGGCGAAGAACTTGTTTCGCAACCGAAACTAACCCTACACGGCATCGGCGTTTAGGCGAATAATTAACGCAAGAAACATCGAAAGAAACAGGGATCGCTCGAGGAACATCTCGGGTATCGTGTCACGAATGCCGAGATCCATCGCGTCGTTAGCAACGCGCGCGAGAACGATACCACTTAACGCGATCGCCACGACACCGATTTGGAATTCGCATTAACAACCTGCATGCGAAATAGAGAGCGCGATTAGGTTTCTATATTTCTTTCCCCTCGGTGGAACGAGCCTAGACTTAATCTACCTCATGCGAGGTCCTCCGGATGATCAATTGCTGGAGCCGGCACGCTGATCCTCCTAACTCGATCCTCCTCACGTTCCACGCGAGTTCCCGACGATACTGACCCTGAACTTCGTGTAATATTCGCGATAAATGCATCCTGGCCGTGTAAAACGATTCGAGGGACGCCGCGGCGCAACGCGCGCGAATATTAATGACGCCTGGCCGACCGACACAGATTCAAAATCGGTAGACGGGGCATCGCTGCCTCATCCGATTCCGGTAAAATCAGACAGAAGATCACGGATTGCCCGCAAAACTTGTCAGAGAGTATAATAGAACGCATGATAAATATTCAACGTGACGATTATGTTTAATTACTACGTGTGTAATATGTTACGTTATATGTTACATTATATGTAATGTGTTAAGTAAAATCCGTTCCAGCCGTTAAATCATCAAGCACGAAGGCGAAATCGATACTTGCGCCGGTTCGGGGCAGCCTGAGAACCGCGCTGGCGAAATATACGATTGCGAGGCGGACCATAATTTTCCCTACTGTCTGCTGAAAATCCCAATTACGCCCAAGGAATTTATTGTTAAACGAGAGATCGTTGGCCCGATCGAGGATGATACAGCGCGCCCCGAACTGTTTCCTTGGCTCTGACACGAGACTCTACGAAGACCTGATCATCTCGAGGAAGAAGCTGCTCCGAGCCGGTGAGAACAAAAAATCCAACTGGTGGAAGACACGAGAGAGAATTCGAGAGAGAGAGAGAGAGAGAGAGAGAGAGAGAGAGAGAGAGAGAATTGGGGAAGAAACGTCTGCGGATCTTCACAATAACATTCTTTCTCGGGCTGGTGCGCACGTTCGGCAACCTCTCGGCCCGCCCCCGATCTTCTCTTGTACCTTTTGTCCAATTTATCCATTGTGCCTCGGGTGTAACGTGCACAGGTAAATCGAGGGGAAGGTGGGAGGGGAGGAAGAGAATTCGGACGTGGACAACGGAGGGAGGAACGAACGCAAGAACCGTCCGAGCCAACAAATTGGCATTACGGCACACGTTACCGTGAGTACCGTTACTGTCTCAGTTCCTTTTTCGAATCGTATCGCTACGGGCTGCGTTCTCGCGTGTCCACGATCCCGAGCCGAAGCCGGACGTTCCCGCTGCTTAGCATTTCGATGCTTTTTCATTTTTATCGAAAGCCCCATCCAAGAGGAAGGGATTTGTCTTTGGTACGCGTGGCACGCACGGAAGACTAGCGATCGCGAGCTGGTCGGGGCTGCAGGTCGAGGGGATTCGATAACGTAATGGCACGCGTTCGATATTCGACGAGTGACGAATAGATGCACCTTTAAGTAATGAATGGACGTTCGATAAGATCACGCACCGGTCTCCGAAAAGAATTTTCAGGAGCTGAGGATTCGTCGTTGGTACGTGTGGCACGCAGGGGTGGATTCCCGACGTTACGAAGCTGCAGCTCGAGTATTCGATAACGTAATTGACTCCGGGCGTTCGGTATTCAACAGATGACGAATATACGTAGTTTTAAGTAATGGATGAACGTTTGATAAAATGGTGTACTCGTTTCTGGGAAAAGATCTTTGGAAGCTGGCTCATTTTTCAGCCTTGTCACCTGGTCGCAACTGGGGCTGGGCCTATTCGAATAATTGATCGTACGAATATTTTTGTTTTCGATTAAAATAGGCGATGTTTCGATCGAAGGAGAGAGGGAATTTATAAGTAAACTGTGAAGAAACGCAGAGTCAAAAGACGATGGATGCTAAACAATGATATGCAACGTTAACATTATTCCTATGTATCTGCTTATATTAATTACGTATATATACGCGTTTCCACGAACAGCTGAAGAAACGTTTAACTGTCGAAAAAAAGAAAGTTATTCACCGTTGTAAAAGATCGTATCTCGGCCGTCTTGGAACGAGAGCACATGTGATTTAATGGACTAACAACGATCAGTCCTGTACCGTCGATATATCAAAGGCTCTATGCATCATGTACTGTTATCGTACATAAACCTGTCTTAAAAGTAAGTATAACACGACCAAGGACGCGCCTCGAAACTAGAACGGTCTTTCCCAGCTGCGCGAATCCGTTAGGGTAGACCCGGTTCTACTTCAAGGACTCAGCCACACGTAAAATATGTAGAAACGTACGCGGGAACGATTCAACGGACACCGAAAAGTTGGCGATTAAAATGATTCAAATTTGATTGGCCACTTTTCGCTTTGGTACACTCGAATTTAATCATAACAAAGTGTCGTTAATATTTCTTTTATACTCAGTCTCCCATAAAATTCTACACTTTACTGAAATTCTGTTGGTGTTAGAAAGTAGTCGATGGTATGCGATTAAAGCAGTACGTAGAGAATATTTGTCATCGGATAGGTTCGATCAACAATCAACAGAGGTGGTGATTAACGATCAGGTGAACACCTCCAAATTCGAATGGCGAGGCTTCCAAGAAAAACACAGGTTTGGGGCCTCGGTTAGAGGTTGGTCCGTCACTGGTCTACGCAGAAATTCCACGGGATGAAGCGACAATCATCGAATCATCGCGAATTCGCGATCCGCAATTTGCGTATTCATAAGATGCACGCGGAATGGGACAAAGGAGAGCGAGCACAGAGGGCACAGTAGCACCGCGGCGTGGCTCACGGTGCACGCTGAAAGACCATTGGCCAACGACTTGTAAACGGCCGCGGGAGAGTGTATGGCACTCCAGTGGTCACATCGAACGAATTCACCGTTACGTAACCGGCGGCTATCCACGGGTCAACAGACGGCCGGAGGAGGCTTCACCGTTCGAGGAACTTAAGTTTTTCGATTAAGGACTGGTCCAGCCGCGGGTGGGGAGAGGATCCGAGCTGTTTATCGCGGGGGATCGTCGCGCTCGCTGGCTGACTGGGGATATTTGCTCAAGAATTACAGCGGTCGACCCGTGTAATGAACGTCCCGGCCGCGACAATATTGTTAGCCAGCCGAGTTATGGCCGCCACGTCGCGGCTCTGTCGCACGACACCACTGTCGGAAGCTATGTACGACAGCACTCGACATCGCGAAAATTCGGTGGTGAATCACATTAACGCGTTCAACTTCACCTGACTTTTGATTAACGAACTAAAAAAATGAATTCCGAAGGTGAGAGGACAACGAAAGTAAATCTGGATAGGATTCGTGAATTCGGCGAGGTTTAAAAATGAAATACTATAACCTCGAGACAAAATTTAAACTCTGTAGAAATTTTCGTGAATTTTAACGTACCCAATGTCTCCACTGCACAGTGTAGCCTAGCAACAACTTAGCGACTTTCGCCGTACCATCGATCAAATTTCACATACCACTCCTTGATTCTACCCCGGTCCAACCACGAGTCAGCGACACTGTCAAAGAATTCACCGTATTACGCCAAGTTATTTAAAATGGCGCGGTTACACGGTTGCAGTAAACCTCCGACATTCTATTCTAATTGCGGAGTCGAGAAGCACGCGGGCAACTTCTCGCATAATCGAATATGCATTACACGTTACGTGGCCTCCGTGGCGTAGCTTTAGGCGTGTTCCGGGCAGATTATGCATTAATGAATGGGCGATTGTAACTCGGGGGATCCTCTTCGCGCTACCATTCTGATTTTACGTCGGACTAACGTCAGATCGATCGCTCTTGCTGCGATTACTGTGATTATCCCAGTCCCAGTCAGACTTGTCTCGATCGCCGCGATGTCGAGGCCTGTCTCGGCCGCGAGAATAGATCGCGCCAACGATATTCTCGGAACGTCAAATCGGTCGAACGAACCGCATCGATTACTGTGATTAATAATCGTCTTACATGCCATTAGCCGCGGCATTGGTTCGCCTCGAGAGCAACCCGGGGAACTCGTTTTCTGGTAGCCTACGCCAGCATTTTTTGGTTACGGAATAGTGTTAAAAATTTGCGAGATTTCGAAGTTTCGTGACTTGCGAATTAAAGCTCGAACCTTCTATTCATCGAGAATGTATCGCTCCACCAAAAAGGGAAGCTCGGAGGTCTGTGGATTCGAACTCGGTGTTGATCGAAACAACTTAGGGAGCTCTCCCGTATATTGGTTCGGCGCTACTTTGCGAGCCTGAGTAAACTCGCGGTCTCTGTAAATGTTTACGAGATCGATTCGCCACGGAACGAAACGTAGCTGGCGGTAACGGTGGTTAATGCGCGAATGACAACTTGCTGGAAGATTGACCCTGAAGAAGAGAGGCAGGAGGCAATGGATCGTAGGGGACGATGAATATAGTAGTTCCAAGAAAATAGAACGAGACAATCTGGGTAATCTGGAGGAATCTACCTGGATAATCTCTGGGATTTAGAAGATCTCCAACTATTTCGCGATTCGATTGATAATTCTGCCGGTTTTTGGACGACAAAGTCACGTAGGTAACATTACTCCTCTGCAAAGACGCCGAATATGGTGTTGACACCATCCGAAGATTAATTCTTCAGTTATCGGATCGACCAGTTGACTACTTAAAGATTGTGGCTGACGGTTAGGTGTTCACGGTATCAATGCATACGTCTGAACACGATGACTGTCGTGGCACGCATAGATGTATGACACTAATGGTTCGATTACCGCAGCATCATTTGTTAAGACCTGTCATTCAAATGCGAATACCGCTACGCAGAAGTCTAATGATTGAAAGCGTAGCCTCCGCAGATTCATTTGATAAAATTGATGAAAGTAAAGAAGTCGAGATAAGACAATAAATTACGAAAATTAACCGCGCGTTAAAAATTACCTATTGTTTAGTTCTCGGTTATTCCGTGTAGAATACGGTTGTATGTTGTAACAACGAAGAAAGGTAGTATGCAGAACTATGCGAAGTTTATGTTTTAAATCGTCGCTTACCGTCTTCTCGACCCACCGCGTCCTTGGCCTGAATCAGGATCGATCTGGAATAATTCAATTTATCCAACAGGTTCACCATCGTGGCCAGTCTGCTCCAGGCATCTCCGGGGGGCCTGAAACAAAATTGGAGTTATCGTTATAACACGAATTGGATAGTTTATCCACTGATTCTCTGTTCTCAACTTTTAATAGATGAATACAGATTCATGATTGCCTTATAAAACGTCTACCAGAATCTTGTCTTCGTTGAACGACATTTTCGTTTATTAAAAAGTCATTAGTCTCTAATCGTTGAATGATAAAAGTACGATTTGCCCTCGCTAACAATAAATTCTAATTTAATTTACAATCACATAGCGAATTAAATTCCTCATCGCATTTACTGTTAGCCTATCGGCTGAAATCGCGTAACAAGAAACCGGAAGGATCCAACCGCAGATGGTTCTTCCCGCTTGTAATAAATATTCCCGCGTGATTCAGTAAGCTGCCAGAACGAATCAACGAACTACGTGCTCCCTGCGATTCGAAGGTGAATAAAGGAGACCGGTACAATAAGCACAGGTGGCACGATCGTCTTCCATAGCCGTGTTTCGAGACTGAACTTGCCTGGTAGAGGTATATATTTGATAACTTCATACGAGAGCAATCTTTTTTTAACATTAAACGCGTATATAATATCCCTCTATCTCTCTGGTCAACGAATCGAACCCACGCCCAGACGCGTCGCCATAAATATGACCGCGCGTAATTGATGGCGACGATTCGTTCGGTCCCATGAAAATTAGTAACAAATGGTCCCCGCGCGTCCGTCGAACCTCGCGTATCGGTGACATCGTTAAATATATGACGCGTCCGCGATGGCGCGCCACGTATCCATCGGCCACTTCCGTATTACTGTAAATCCAAAGTCGTCCGTTTAATTATTTTCACCGCGATGAATGGCAACGTGCGGGGGATCATTTTCCAAGCTATCGATCATTCGATGGTATCGTGCACAGCCCTCGAGGCGGCGATAAAGAAGCGAGGAGGCAGCTGCTAAGAAAAGCGCACGACGCCTTCGCTCGGGATTAATCGATCGGCGTCATGAAAGGTCATTCGTTAATTGCGTCAGCCGTATGCTGCACGTTTACCATTCGTCTAATCCGCGAACCTCTTTATCGTTTAAATTATTACTGGCTTGTTCCGGGCACCTTATTGAAAATTGATGAAAATTGACAGAGGACGAAGGCGGACTTTGCTCGAAAAGGTGGACATTTTTTGAATAGGTCGCGGTTTACTGAACTCAGACTCTGCGTTGATCTACGCTATCATTAATTTCAATACACCACCGCGCCTGTAACTTTTTCAAAGTAAGGCGAACTTAATGATAAGTGAACAAGTATTCCACTGTTATGGAAGATCGAACGTATCCAAATATTCGCAAATAATTTTGTCATCGGAAGAATGGTCGGAATCGATAATCCGAAGCGTCTTCGCGAACTTCTCAGCCGTGGTATCGAGCGAAGCACCTCGCAATAAATAACACACCGATCGCGGAGCCTGTGACGTGCAGATTAATGCGATCTACGCGTCATCGGGAGCAAAACCAGTCTGCAAAATTGATAAACTTCAACGATAATCATATCTTCGCGGCACCGTATAGAAAACCGTCACGTATGGACGGTCATTGGCATCTGAAACTGTTTTCCGTTCCCAAGGGATTAATAATTAGGTGCAACAGAAAAGAAATAGAGACAGAAAGAAAGACAACGACTGATTGATCGATCCATCGCAATTACACGGTCTCCAGGCACGAGCGAGCGCTAGGATAAAACAAAGTTGCTATTCTCGGTGAATGGGGGATAAAAATAGTGTGCTAGAGTGGGAGAGGGGCGCAGGAAGAATCGAATAAGTCGCGATCGATGGCAGATTAATTGCGAATCCCGTTTCTATAAATAAAATCGTTTCTATTCGCGGTGAACAGGATTAAGAGGATGCGATCGCGTCAGTAGCTCGCGATCGGCTCGCGTCCTTGCCAAGGAAACTATCTACGCTCGCATAATTGTTAATCGCTAACGAGCAACAATAATTAACTCATCCAGCCGGATAGGGGCCGTTGGTTCTCGCAGTTACGGGACTAAAGGGGCCTTGAAACTCGTTTAATGGACGATAGATTGCATCAGTCGGGCAGCACACGAGTCTTTTCTCTCTTTTCGCCTCGTCTTTTTGCTCCGTCTCGTTAGAAAGATCCAAGGGATCGATATATTCGGCTGGGGCTCGGCGCGATCGTGAATAAAAATCGTTGTCTTCGATCTGCGCTCGAATATTCAACGGAAAACACTTCGAAGAAGCAACCGCGCGTAAGCAAATTTTCTATTTTCAAACGAGCCAATTTCTAGATTCCGCAAGTATACATATTCATCGGAACCGTTTAAATAATTTTGTAAGCAATGAGAATTTTACGTGCTCGCATCGCACAGCGTAGAAGAAACAAAAATGGCTATTAGCTCGTTCATCGGCCGTCTAAGCATGGCCTGATCCAGCATTTTTGCCACGATGGCTCTCCAAATATGCCGAACGTGGCTATCGTTCGTGCACGTTCGCCGTGGAGTCTCGTTTGTCTGTTTTCCAACAATTCCCGTCTCGCTAACGACGAGGCGATCTTTTCCAGCGATTCCGCGGCCACGGCTCCTTTGTCAATCATCGAGGAGACCGGTACGAAGATAATTACACGTTGATCGGCCCTTTCTCGAACGTCCTCCGTGGTTTGCATTGTCGTCGACCAGATGCTTTTATTTCGATGAGTCACTCCCACGCTGGATCGTTTCGAGAACGGAACAGGTTCGCGAGCCAGTGACTTCAACGAATGGACGATGCTCTCGGCTTGCTCGCGCGCGACTTCTCTGCTGGATTCTTTCCATGGAAGTTTCATTCCTTATTGTATAGATTCGTAAAATCTCGATCAAATAGACATACTCTTATAATTTGACACTTTGGGATCTTTTCTATTAAGAAATTTGTAGAAATGACGGATTGAAATAGCAAATGTACAGCCACTTTATCAACCAACTGCATATTTCCATGAAACATCTAGCTTCTTCCATTGCGATTTTGATAAGCTCAAACGAAGAGTCGGGAAACGAGGAGAGGGCACGAGGATTGGCCCGATCCCTCCGACAATTAGGTTTCCGGCCGGAATTTTGTGTCTCATCGCGGACGATAAATCACGAACGCGCGCCTGGAAGATGTAAGAGCGTCGTCGAGCCGCGGTGATGTCTCTAGCAGCCTCTCCGCGAGTTTCCCACCCTGAGAAATTGACGTCCGGGATAGAATTAATAGTCCAACACAACAGTCATAATTCAAAACACCTAAAGTGTCAACCTGAATTAATAGTCGCGCGCAGCTGCGACGGAACCGAACGTTCCGTGTTGGTTGATCTGCGGCCCCCGACCAGACCCACCCCACAAATCTCCCTCGCGGACCTCGGAGATTAATCTGTTTGACAAAAGCGGGCGTAGATATTCGCCAGGAGACGTTGCACGCACGTTCTCCATCAAATTAGACGCCGTTCTGGGCGATAATTGCGCGCGAAACCTCCAACGGATACCCACGGGAGGAACGGAGGGAAACCAGCGCCCTGCAGGAGAAATCCGCGAACCTCTGCGTGACTGTAGATCGAGTTTTGATACGATACAGCGGTTGACCGTGACCCGCGTCATACTTCCAAACCGCCCCAAGCCTCGTCGTCGCGCTTAGACGAAATTCAGGATGACCTGTACAACTGACCAGCAGGAGATAAAAATCCGAACAGTCGCGATTAAAACACGAGGAATGCGGTACAAGTCGTTCTTCGTTTCGAGGGAACATTTTCATCGGAGATTCCCGTGACTCGATCTCATTCCTCGGTAAAAATTCTATATTCTTATTTCCTAAAATTATTTAGAATGAATGGGATTGGCGTTCCCAAAAAGTATCGTCACGACAAAAAGACCGCTCGCGTCGAGTAATTTGAGGCTGCAGCGTAATCTGCTGGCGAATGTATGCATCGCGCACGGTTACCGACTGGACGCAGGAGTTACGGGGACCTATACGGTTAAAAATAAAAAATAACATCGATTTTCGAATTTCGATGCTTTCTGACAGCTACCATCTTTCCTGAACACGATACAATTTGCAGAATTAAAAAATATTGCAAGACAACCGAGCATACATTTTTTATATACAGCAAGGGGTCAAAAAAAAAATTCTGCAAGCGTCAAAACACACATTATAGACTGTAACGTAAGGATGTAAAAAGCTAGTTTCACAAACAATTGAATAGCTGAATTACAGAGGTACAACCGAATGACCTGTGATGCAGTATTTTAAGCCGTATAGGTCCCCTTAAGAGCCAGATTCCTACCGCAGACCGCAAGCCGCAGGGATCGGAGGCAGTTTGAGATATCGAGGATTCTTTCCATCCGTGAAGCCCCTGATCCTAATAAACGCGACCACGTGCAGAACTGGCGCCCGGGAAAATTTATTTCTCTCACTGACATTTAACGGTTGCATCCTCGCCGTAAGGCAACCGGAAAGTTTTAAATAACCGCAACGTATCGAGAGGGTCCCGAGAACCGCAAGCTAATATCGGATAGCTGGGGATATTAACTAACTTTCTATATTAAACTAAAAAATATTTAAAACTCCCGTGCTGCGAGGAATATTAATTTCTTCGCCCCTCGCTGTACGATGCAAAAACAAATGTCTGGCCTATTATGAGAAATATGACTCAGTTGTTAAATTGAGCACACCTTTTACCATTTGTTAAAGAGAAACAAGTCTGGATAGTATTCGTGAAATACTAACTCGTGAAATACTAAATTGCCGATATTTTACAGAACTCACCCCACTCTGTAATCCGTGCAAGATGGCGGAGGATTCCAAACGGTGCTGTGGCAGAGCATCCAATCGCACCAAATCTAGAACAAAAAGATTCAGTGATGAAAGATTATCGCGAGGAGACAGGAAAGGACGTTTCTATTTATAGAAAGCGTAGGGCATATTTTATTTCATCCCCAACCACCATCCATCCTCGGGGAGTGAAAGATATTCCAGCAGCCTTGTGTCGCGTCTACTTTATCGTTAATATTAATGGTCCTGCTTGGAACAAGAACAAAACTCGCCATTATTGCGTGCACCAGGTTGCATTTTCACAGTAAAAAAAAAAAAAAAAAAAAAAAAAAAAAAAAAAAAAAAATAACAGGAATTAGTTTGGGCCCCCCTGGGGTATTTATTTTTGGATTTTGGTTTTTTTTTCCTTGGCGGGGGAACAAAAGCAAGG